ACACAAAACCAGTTTCCAGCCTCTTGACATGGGTTAGCTTTTTTCCTATTGAAAGTAAGTTGGTAATGACACTAAGCAGTTCTCAGCTCTGGTATTATCATAAATCACTAAAGAATTTAGATCCCTGTCCCAGAGACTAGAAGAAATTGGGGGAGGGGAGATGGACTGGGATAGAAACAAACAAAAAGGATGAATTAAAGATCTCATATAAGGGAGATAATATTACCTAACCTATATGGCTCTTAAGAGGCCTAAATAATGACTTTTAAAGCTCCTAGCGGTCACTGGCACTCAGTAAGTACTCAACAACTGTTAATCATTGTTGTAACTACTATGTGGCTTAATCCATACCACCCTTGTTCAACCGCACCCCATTCTGCTCCACCCCACCAACTATAGGCAACAAATACAAAAAAAGCAAATAAAAAAAATGTTAAACCAAAATAAAGGCATTTTTAATGGATATGTCCAATTACAGTATAGCTACTTGTGAATTCCAATGGATTTTTATTAAGTATTTGCTGCAGTATATGCCCATGAATATGTGTTGCATTGAATTAAAGTAAATATCCATCATAAAATATGCCCAGTTTCAGGCTTTGTGACTATTTTAATCTTTCCTTTTTCAGTTCGAGAAGAAACTCCCTTCCATAATCATCGAACTACCATTCTGAGTCACTCCTTAAAAACATTATCTGCAATGAGATAATAATATTCCATTTACATGGTTATCGTTGCAACAAACTGTCTCCTTTAAACCATTATCACAGTGAAAAGACTTTGAGAAGCAATCCATGGCAGCCGTCAGAAAATCTTCAGAGCAGGAAGGGGTAGCAGAATCAATGACTGCAACTGGTGAGGGACCACATTTGCATATCACCTGACAATGTTACATTGCTTTTTTGTATGAAGGAAAATGTTTGCTTCTTATTGCCCACACTGGCTATATTAAAATACCAGTCTCAGTTTGACTCAGTGGCTAGAGCATTGGCCTGTGGACTGAAGGGTCCCTATTTCATTCCAGTCAAGGGCACATGCCTGGGATGCGGGCTCCACCCCCAGTAGGAGGTGTGCAGGAGGCAGCCAGCCAGTCAATGATTCTCTCTTATCATAGATATTTCTATCTCTCTCTCCCTCTCCCTTCCTCTCTGAAATATAAATATATATATATATTTTTTTAAGCGATAGTCTGCCATACTAGCCTTTTGGTTTCAAACTGTTTTATAAATTTTTTCATGTAACGAATTGAAAATCCCTAAATAAGAACTGTTATCCACACCTTGGTCTGCCTGGAGAAGGGGAAGGGAAACAGGATTAGACTGAAGTATTTGGGTGCCTCCTTTCATTTCATCCAGGAACTTTGAATTGGCCATCCTCAATGATGATAGGAGGTGACTGTGATGTTTTTTCTGCCTTATTTTTAAGAGTATAACAATTCCTAAATTAACTTCATGACAATAAGGGTAGCAAAGTATATGTGAATGTACTAGAACATGTCTCAGTAGCAGTCAAGCACAGGGGCCAAGTCCAGATAATCATCATCAGGAGAGAAATCTAGAATAACTAAACCCAGGAAATGAGTTCCACAACGCAAATGTCAAAAGGCGCTAAATCATGAGAAAGATCCCATTATTGTTATCTAAGGGCATGAAGCAAACATGATGGAAACAAAGGGAGAAGACAGAAAGTTCCATTACTCAACCTCTCCCTACAAAGTTAAAGAGTCTCTGAAAATTAATCTAAGATATCAATAATGAAAACTCTTAGAAAGTTCAAAGAAATCTTGATATCTAATATATCCTTTTACCTTGATAACTATATGGGGAAAGGGCTATTTGAATTTTCATTTAAATGCAAATACTTGAAAACTAGTTCTGCAATTAATTAGTAAACCCTTTAAACTCAATAAGTTGTCACCTTCATAGATGTTAAACACTTTGTATTTAAGTAGGCAGATAATTTGTGGGAAAGGTATCCAAAAAAAATCCTTAATGTCCTATATTCCATTGTTGTTATTAGATGAAATAATAAAGATCTACTTTCTCTTGTAATTATTCAAAATGCTGCAGTAAAATTTCTCCTTATTGGTGCTAATGGGAGAATAAAAGCATCAACCACCAATAGCTCCAAGCACAGTGGTTCAAGTACTGTCTGTGTAATGTAGATACCAAAATCAGGCTGTCTTTGTGCAGAGCTATTACACTGACCAATAAATTCAGAGCCAACAACTGATTTGACTTTTTGTTTTCTAATTTGGCTAGCTCTTTCACCACAGGGACTTAGTCAACCAAGCATCTCAGAATCATACTAGGGAAAGGTGTCATCAGCCCATATCCAATTCTTTCCTTTAAAAAAAAAAATCAGGAAATATGGCCAAATTAGATAATGCATTAATAATCATTGAAATGGAAATCTGTTAAAATTCTTTTTAGAAGTCCACTCTCCATGAACATGAATGGATAAAAGTAGCCCTTGGCACCAAACAAACAAAAACACAAACAAACAGCTCTGACCCCTTGTCTACGGTTGGAAAAGGTTCATAACACACTCTTCCTACACTGGTCCTGATTCCCCATCAAGTGACTGAAGGCATTTAATTCATTGCCTGAATCCTTCATTTGACTGGTGTACATGGAATTCGTAAAGATATAGAGAAAAAATGGAAAAAAGAGTAGAAAACATGTTTTCAATCTTGTATAAATGGTTAATGGACAGGTCAGAGGAAATACACTTTGCTGCCATTTTCCTTTACTTATATAAAGGAGACACAGAATAGCAGTGTAAATACAGAAATAAGCCCCAAATCTGTGAAAGTAAAAATAGTTTGTTCCAGTGCTTACAAAATAAGTAGATAGATTGCCTTTACTATTACAGTATTCTCATCAATACTTCAGGTACTCCCAACTTTCCTGTACAACTGAACAAATGAACAATCATAACTTTGCCATGGATTCTCACTGAGGAAATATAATCCTTGCAAGAAAATTCACAAAAAGAAAATAAAGATGCTTCATTTTACAGTTAGGAATAAAATTTATGTTCTTTCCATTCACTAGGGGAAAATGAATGTTTTTTGAGCCTAAATAGTACTATCAGCATTAAGTCAAATTTAAATTCATTTCTCAAGACAGAAAACATTTCCAATACTTCAACTTCCAATTTTACAGTAGATGCCTTTGTCTGTTAGTTTGTGCACAATTGAGTGCATTAGCATGTGTGAGTGTGAGTTGCTTTATGAATTCCTAATGATGTATTCAGAGTTCTTAAGGCTATGCCTGAGTATAGGACCTCATCTATAGACACAAGAAAATGAAACATTACTTTGAAATAACACTAAGAATCTGACACAATGCAATAAAAGCCAGTAATCTAACAAAAAATATGGCAAATCTCTACCACCTCTTCTAACTGAATCGTTGCAGATTTAAAATGGAGATTTTAAAACTGCCTCAAATGTGTTTTCCTTTGATGACTATTTACTTTGTTACTTCATTCATATTATTCAAATAGGCTTTCGTATACTTGTCTTATTCTTTCCTTTACAAAAAACAAACTTAAAAAACATGTAGTATCAGTTCATTACTTAGGCAATCTCTGGAAAAACGAAAGTTATATAGAAGTGTTGATGTCATTTACATGTGTAGTTTCCCTTGAATATGTCTATCTTCCTGACACCATGCGTCACTTCCTAGCAGAAACTCTGGTCTCTTGATTAAACGCTCTGAAGTGCATTTCAGACACTGTTGTAGAATCATTAGACCCTAATAGCATTCTAGGAACTGCTTCAGTTTATAATTCAAACTACCGAGGCATATGGGAACCCTTCCTGAAATAAATATTTCATCTCAAATAATAGAGAATGTACACAAAGTAAGCCACTTTTCAAAAAATCTTGGCATAAAGTGTTTATGATATATAAGCTTGCCAGTGTTATATTCTGAACATAACCTGTCTCACTCATAAGTCTATAAAGCAGAAGTCTAATGATATGAAAAACTATATTTTTCTATTGTTGTTTGTTGTGTGTTCCTCACTTTAGAATCCCCATATTAAGGGACGGTTGAATCCAAAATTTTTTATAACAAAGGTAAAACCTCTGAAAAATCAAGATTTTGTATAAGAAACAGACTCCTACCAAGACAAGGCAGAACCAATGCTCTGGAACAGCAACACAATAGTTTTGTTTGTTTGTTTGTGCACTGAAAGCCAGAGAACCCATATAAAACAAAAACAGAATTGCTGCAGGTTACGGCACATAAAAGAATATCAATGGTTTGGGGACAGTTACCATATTTAGCTATAAAACCAGGTTTTAAACTTGAGGTTACGAACAGATTATAAAATGTTAACAGCTGGATAAACGGTAAAGTATGCATTATCTACACATGAAAAAGTGACAGTTTATAAATGCTGCAATGTTGGGTCTGTTGGCATGGAACGAAATCTTTCCCCAGTCCTGATTTCTGCATGGGGTGGGAAAACAACAAAAAGGAAAAAACCTGCTCTGCTGAGCATTTTTCTCCCCAAACAAATGATCAAACCAAAACTCTTCTTTCTTGTCCCAGTGGTAGATATTTACCTATTTGCATACCTAGCAACTGAAACTAGGAAAATTTTCTGCCAATCAATGATGCCCTCTGCTCATCAGGTAATACCTGTTCTGGTTGTTTTGGGGTGTTTTTTTCCCCAGCTTCCTAGGTGTTTTCCATACAGCAAAGGGTCTTCCCTGCCTGCCCCCCACACCACCCCCTGGAAGGGGAAGGGGAAGGGGAAGGTGAAGGGAAGGATCATGGAAGAGGAGGACTCTTCTGGTTCTTGCAGTGGCTCCTCCAGACCTCTGGACCCTGGCATGGCCAAACATCATGGCCTGACACTTACTTCGGTTTGGTTAGGTCCTCTTTCTGAAAAGGCAAGTAAAGATGACTTCCAAGTATTCAGTGCATTAAAGAAAAAAGACAGAAAACATATTTTTAAAAAGAAAAAAAAAGTGCTTGAAAATAATTCCCAGGGACTTATCTTGGGGAGGAGACGCCCATGTGCAGTGTGGATCTCCTCTCTAGTGTCTCCTGCCCCAGCGGGGACAAAGACCCTCGTCCAGGCTCTGTAGCAGAGACGGTCCTCAAAGCCTTTCTTTAGGAAAAGCAAAACTTATTTCAGTGGTTACCAGGGAAAGTTGTATTCCTTGACATGTGGTCCATCCATCTTGGCCTCAGAGACCTCACAACTTTTTGGCACTGTCGTGGCAGGCCGCTGCCCGGATGGTGGTCCCAGCCAAGCCTCGGTTGCTGACCCTGCGGACGAGCACTTTGGACACCGGGATTTTTGTTCTGGGCACCTCGCTCCTGGCTGGTTGCTGGTGCACCACGGGATGGCTGGACGGAAGGTTGGCGAGATGCTTGACGCTGATGGGGATTTTAGAGTCCTTCAGCAAACTGCCTGGTGTTCGCAGTGGGCAGGTGATGGAGCCCGGGGACACGGGCTTTAACCTAGACACACAGGACGCCTCCTCGTTGGCAGGAAGGGCTGCCGGGCTTCCATCCGGATCCGCGTAGAGATCGTAGAGCGCATCGCCGCTGTAGCTATCCCTGGAGATGCCCGCCTTCTTCCCGCTGCCTGTGCCGTCTTCCTCCGGGCCTGGGGTGGTGGAATCCCAGTAGCCCTCGTCACTGTTGGGGACGCCTTCTTGCTGCTCCTTCTGCAGGTGCTTGGGTTCCTCCTTGGGCTGCGACTCAATGGGAATGCGGTTGAGCCTCCTGCGCTTGACCGAGGACACGTCCTTGGCCACTTCGACCCCCCGGGTGTCTTTGGAGGTCTCGGGAGCCCCCTTGGCGTCCAGTGCTGCGGCGGCCTTAGCCAGTCCCTCGGGGGCCCCTTGTCCTTGGTCCTCAGTCTGGGAGAGCATGTCCCAGAATTCCTGCAGATAGGTGTCATCCACCCCATCCGGGCTCGCCATCTCCTCCCCGCCTCCTTGGTAGGCCACCACGCTGGGGTTCTTTTTAGACACACCTGGCTTGCCTGTCCCCGGGGCATGCTTGTCACAGCTGGGCCCTGCCTCGTCCTCTTGGTCTGCAATAATATCTCCACAGCCTGTAAGAGAGTCAAAGCTTTTCAGTGAAGTCACGTCAGAAAACATCAAACAAATACGATCGGTCGATGGGTCTGAGGGCGGATCAACAGAGGAAGGGTCAGGGACGGCAGACGCCCGGCCGCTGCCACAGTCGGAGTCGACAAGGGGGACGGTCTTTATCGGAACGTCACCTGTCCTGGAGGTATCCTCGGCCGTCCGCACCTGCCCAGCGCCCAGCTCGGGGGGTGCCCGGGGATCCTCGGCGCGCCGGGGCCCCGCGGCGTCCTCTCCCGGGGCGCCGCTGGCGGTCGGGGCGCCGGGGCTCTCGGCCTCTCGGCCGCGGGGCACTTCGGGGCGCTCGGCGGAGGCCGGCGCCGGCTCTCCCACTCCGGGCTCACCTGCTGGGTCTGGCGGCGCGTCCCTGCTCGGGTTCTCCGGCGCGAACGCGGGGTCGGGGCGCTTCCTCCGTGACGCACTCCAGGCTGGCCGTGAGCGACCCCGGCAGGGCGAGGCCGGCCGGGCCCCCCGAGGGGCGCCCCGCGCTCCCCCCTCCTTGCCGCGCTTGTCCTTCCTGTGCCAGCGAACGCTGCTGAAGAAGCACTCCGAAGCCCGCGCTTTTGTTGGCGGCGAGGCGTAGGCGGGGAGCTCCCCGCGTCCCCCTCTGCCAGGTCCGACCGACCGGTTC